GTTCTTTTATTGCTGACTTACTCAAGACTTATAATACCGTAATAGCACTTGATTGGAAATGATTGGTTAAGACCTTTTTAAAATATTTGCAGAAAAATTATACTTACAAATCTTCCATATGGTGTTTAGCATGCCTACTGTATTTAGTTATCATGTTTGATAAAACTATAGCAATAACCATACCAACACTGTCACCACATGCTACTACATTCAACCATTCAGAGAATGATACACTCTGCAAGGAAATAAAAATTACACTAGAATATCTCTAATTTATAACCCCTTCCACACATCCTTGTATTTTTGTTGTCTTTGGCAATAGACCTGGTAATATGAAGAATTTTTTTTTTTAGATATCGAAAAAGTGAAATAATTAAGATTATTTTTTAAATTTGAAATTTCATTTCAAATGGTTTGAAAGCCAGTGGTGTTTGTTATTTAATGACCTGAATCTAATCTGCATGTAATTTTGTGGAAGCCACTTTGATTTTGCTAATTTTTATGCATTCTTAAGAATTTCTTCAAAATGGTACTGTGAAAGGGTTAATTATTCACTGGGTTTTAATTTTGCTCATTTCGCTGACTGGAAAATGCGCTAAATTAAAACCCAGTGAATATGTAAAATTTAGCATAGAACACATTATCCAAATGATAAAACCATGAATTTAAAACCCACTGAATATGCCTGAAATAGTAAATCAGTGAAATTTAAACCCAGTGAATTATAGTCACTTTACAGTAATTTTGGGCCAGATGAACATTACCCATTACCCAGATTACCCTTCACCTTGAACCTTTTTAGAAATGGCGAAACAAAATTTCAACGATCATTCAAAAGGTAGACCAATCACAGGAAAGATAACACAACTTACCCACACACACGAGTTAAGGGGAGCGAGGTAAGAACGTTTGGCACCAAAGAATCCATTCTCTACATAGTGTAAACCAAGAGGAAACTGACCACCAACACTAAATGACAAAAACAGAGCACATCCATTAAAATATTGTAAGATTGGAATGTGACGTTCTCTCTTAGAGTGTTTTCGCAGTTGTTCGGGAAATCAGAGAATTGATGCAAAAGAATTGCAGTTCATGCAATTAACAGAGCAGTTGATTTCAGAGTAGTTTTAAAGCATTACAGTCACTCTGTCATGTTCGACATGCATGGGGCAATAAATATATAACGTCCAAAGTACACTGTTTACTAAAATTTCAAGACTTGTAGATTTCTGACAAACGTACTGCACTATATGTAAAATTGTTCTTATATTTATAGATCATTTGTGGTGGTTTCTGCAGAAAAAGTCTTAACTCCATGAGAAAAAAAGAAAGAAAAGAGTATGATATAGAACACAATTAATTTGTGCTGATAATCATGTGGCTTGAAAGGCAGGGGTTTTAACTTAAAAATTAAGAAATACTGTGCATCGGCTACATGAAAATATACTTTAACCCAGATTTGAATCAAAATGACAATTCTTGTTGTCTGAAATAAACCTAAATAATTGTTGGTGACGAGAATGTCTCATTAAAATCTTGCCTCTTAGATAACTGGTTCATTACAATACAACCCCCTGGACTATAATGTAATATTATGATTTCGGTATTTATTTTTTGGGTTGTTCCAATGGGCAACCAGTTTTCGGATTTGATTGTCCTATGACAGAAGTGTTTGTCCGGGACAATCAAAAATTTTGACCCCCCCCCCAAAGGGTTACAGCTACATACCAG